ATGAATTTGAGTTCTGCTCCATACTTATCTCCTGCTCTGTCAGGGACTCTCTGTTGTTTTCCCTGTCAGGGCAGTCATTGGTGGTAGCCGGGCACCATCTAGTTCTTCTGGTCTCAGGCTGATGCAGTTTCTGGTTTATGTGGCCCTTTCTGTCTCTTGGGCTAATATTTTCCTTGTGTCTTTGGTGTTCTTCATTATCCTTTGTTCCAGGTGGGTTGGGACCAATTGATGCATCTTAGATGGCTGCTCGCTGGCTTTTAAGACCCCAGATGCCACTCACCAAAGTAGGGTGCAGAACATTTTCTTAAAAAACTTTGTTATGCCAGTTAACCTAGATGTTCCCTGAAACTATGGTCCCCAAACCCCAGCCCGTGCTACTCTGTCCCTCGAAGTGTTTGATTGTGTTCAGGAAACTTCTTAGCTATTGGTTTAGTCCAGTTGTGCTAACTTCCCCTGTATTATGTGTTGTCCTTCCCTTCACCTAAGATGATTCTTATCTACTATCTAGAAAGTGAATTCCCCTTCTCTCCCTCCCCACCCTTGTAACCATCAAAGAATGTTTTCTTCTGTGTTTAAATCTTTTCTTGAGTTCTTACAATAGTGGTCTCATACAATATTTATCCGTTTGCTACTAATTTCACACAGCATAATGCCTGACAGATTCATCCATGTTGGGAGATGTTTCGCAGATTCATCATTGTTCTTTATTGTTGTGTAATATTCCATTGTGTATATGTACCGTAATTTGTTTATCCATTCATTTGTTGATGGGCACCTAGGTTGTTTCCATCTTTTTGCTATCGTGAACAGTGCTGTAGTGAACATGGGTGTGCATATATTTATTCGTGTGACAGCTCTTATTTCTCTAGGATATATTCCAAGGAGTACGGTTGTTGGATTGTATGGTGCTTCTATTTCTAGCTTTTTAAGGAAGCAGCAAATCAATTTCCAAAGTGGTTGTACCATTTTACATTCCCACCAGCAGTGCATAAGTGTTCCAGTCTCTCCACAGCATGGTTGTATTCTTTAATAATAATTGTAGTAACTAATATTTATTTAACTCTTACTATTCACAAATTAGTATAATAACATATGCATAATATATGCTTAGACCCAAGCCCTGGTGGCACAGTGGTTACATACTTGGCTGCTAACCAAGAGACTGGTAGTTTGAACCCACCAGCTGCTCTGCAGGAGGAAGATGTGGCCGTCTGCTTCCGTAAAGATTTACAGCCTTGCAAACCATATGGGGCAGTTCTCCTCTGTCGTATAGGGCTGCTATGAGTCGGAATCAACTTGACAGCAATGGGTCTGGGATTGTTTCATCAAATCTCATCTGTGAGGTAGGTACTAGAGGAAACCAAAACAAAGAGCGGTTAAGTAAGTTGCTCAAGGTCAATAGCTAGCAAAAGGTAGAGTCAAGATTCAACCTGAAGCAGGTTGACTTGAGTCTATATATCAAATCTATGCTGTGTGCTGTACTAAAGTAGTACTTGTAAATTACGGAAGACACCTGTGATAGACATATAGATGGCATTCTGTCGTGAACATTCAGTAGCGTCATTCATGTTCTGGTTATGATAGAGACCCACTTAGATGTAGGCTACAGGTGTGTTTGTGAATTATAAAACAATGTTTTTTTCAAGATGGGATCTTGAAATTTCTTAAGCATTTGTATGAATGTGTGGATGAAACTGCAGAGTTGTTGTTTGTTGGTAGAAGAGAGAGTGGCATTAAACATTACAGGACTATTTTTTTTCTTCGTGGTGTCTGGATCAGAATTTTGTCTCAAACACGCCTGTTGGGCAGCAGTATAGTATGGTGTTCAGGAATATGGCCTCTGGACTTGGACTGCATAGGTTTAAACCACAGATTACCCAATTGCTAGCTACGAGCTCCAGTTGGCTACCAATTCTTCTAAGTTTCGGTTTCTTCATCTGTAAAATGAGGAAAGCAATGGCTTATTGTGAGGATTAAATGAGCTAATGCACTTCGCACATTGGCTGGCATATGTAAGGACTTAGTAAAGGTTAGCCATTTCTATTATGTTTACAGGAAAAGGTACCTCTAAAACTATGATGTTTCAGAGATCATTGAGTCCAGAGATCTATTTACCCAAATCACATTGGCAGAAAGCTGAATGAGAAAAGGATCTGAAACTTTGGTCATGGAAGAACTCATTTTCTAAATGTCAGGTCTCTTTTAAACAGAGGAAACCTGGGATAAATTGTGCGATTTGTTCTCCATCTTGCAATATTTCAGGAGAGGAAAATGTGCTTATTCTTTTTTTTAAAAAAAATTTGTTGTTGAGAATATACACAGCAAAATATACACCAATTCAATAGTTTCTACATGTACAATTCAGTGATATTAATTACATTCTTTGGGTTGTACAGCCATTCACACCCTCCTTTCCTGAGTTGTTCCTCCCCCATTAACAGAAACTCACTGCCTCCTAGGATTCCTATCTATTCTTTTGAGTTGCTGTTGTCACTTTGATCCCATATAGATAGTTCTTAAAAGAGCTTAACGCTCAAGGCAGACATTTTTTACTAGGTAAGCTAAATTATTGTTTGGTTTTAAGAAGACTTCAGGGGATATTTGTGGTTTAAGGTTTAAAGATCATTTCAGGGCAATAGTTTCAGGGGTTCATCTAGCCTCCATGGCTCCAGAAAGCCTGAGTTTCATGAGAATTAGAAATTCTGCATTTTCCCCATTTTGATCAGGATTCTGTTATAGAATCTTTAACCAAAATGTTCAGTAATAGTAGCTAGCATTCTTATGATGGGTTAAAGTGTGCTTATTTTACACTGTAATTTAAACTCCTGGCAATCTCTTTCCTTTTCTGTCCTTTGAATTAGTTTCTGTTTTGTTTAAGGTAGCTTTTGAGATTCCTTAATATTTAAGCAGCTCAGCCATTTTACTTTTATTAAGTTTGAGAACCATGGAATCATCTAGATTAGAAATATATTCCCTCTAGGGAATCTAAATGAACCCTGAGCCCAGAAAAATAACTCTATGCTTGATATTATTTTGGGAGAAACTGGGGGTGAATGTTGTTTGGGTGCCTATATTTCAGGTTGATGGGAAATTATAATTACACAAAAGTTCCCCCTCTCCCTCTATATTCAACTTAGTAAGCCTGATATTTTTCCTGTTGGAATATTATATTGACAGCCAAATTCATGCTGGTAGTGACAAAAACTATAGAAAGCTTCCAGCTCACACCTGACTTTTTTATCAAATATTTTTTTAGGATTTGCAGGTTTGGAGAGAAGATGGCTTTTGTCCCTCAGAACCTGTTTTTGTTCCAGTACCAGGAGCCAGTGAAGAAGATGTTGGGGTTATTCTTTCTGTGATGATCACCCCCAACCAGGTAAATGTTACTTCCCTGTCTTCAGTCAAGAAATAAAGTAGCATAAACCATTTGAGTGTTATAAGCTCTCAGCTGTTAACCAAAGGGTTGGCCTGGTTTGAACCCACCCAGTGGCTCCATGGGAGAAAGACCTGGTGATCTGCTCCTGTAAAGATTACAGCCAAGAAAACCCTATGGGGCAGTTCTACTCTGTCACATGGGGTCACAATGAGTTAGAATCGACTCCACAGCACCCAACAACATTGATAGTTTATTTTGATTCCAAAATGGCACCTTCTCCCTTCTCTTCCTCTCTGTACTATTTACATACTCTTTTATCATAATCCTGGTGGTGCAGTGGTTAAGTGCTGAGCTGCTAACCAAAAGGTCGGTGGGTAGAACCCACCAGCTGCTCCGTGGGAGGAAGATGGGGCTTCCATAAAGATTAAGTCCTTGGAAACTCTATGGGGCAGTTTTTATCTATTCTATAGGGTCACTATGAGTAGGAATGACTTGGTAGCAATGGTTTTTTTTTTTAAAACCATAATCCATAGTTTATTATTGTTTTAGAGTTCTATTTGTAGAACCATAATAATAATGTCCATTTGCATAGGAATTTATTATTTACAAACTATTTTCTTACTTATTTAGACATCAAAACAACTTTGTGAAACACCATTTTAAGCATATGGAACTTGTAATTTAAAGAAGTTAAAAGAGACTAGCATCAGATCTCATAATGATAAAGCCAGTACTTAAATCTGAATCTTCTAACTTCTAGTCTAATGTTCTTATGTTCTTATCATCATCTGTGCTGCCAATTTCAATTAACTGATCCAAAAGTTCAATACCATAAGCCCTGGACTGTTGTCTCAATAATGTTGATATATGATTTCTTGTCTAGTCAACCTTGTGGCAAATTGGTTCACTTTGAGTGCCAATTTTGATCAGTTATTAGTGGCTACCTGGAGTGTGGGATCCTGAGACCTTTTAAGTGTTAAAGGAATAATTTCTTTTGTAAGGATCCGCACAAAGCTGGTTCCTATGAGGCGGAGGTCAAAGATATCCCAAATGTCCAGCTTTTCCAAGCTGCTGTAGTGCTCTATCATCTGTAACATCAATTACTCCCTCTAGCCTCAGTACTCTCCTTCCTGTCTTTGGTTCCCTAATTCACTGCAACGTCTCACAGAACTCACCAACTGTATAAAGGAAATGGCTCATGAGGTTGTGGAAGCTGGCAAGTCCCAAATTCATGCGTCAGGTGTAGGCTTCTCCCTGGCTGTCAGTCTCTGCCCAAAGGCACTCAGCTTTCTCACTCCGTGGGCTAGGAAGCCCACTCTGCCTTTTCCTGCGGGTCTCTCTTGCGAATATCTGCTGTGAGTCTCTGCTGCTGGTCTCTCCTTCCTTGGTGGTGGTGGGCTCTTCTCTCTGCCCTGGAATTGGCTCTCTTTTAAGGCAAAACTGACCAATCCCTTGGTGGTCCACAATTATCTTATTTGCACATTCCTGCCCTATCACCTGGGTGGGAATTATAAGACCATGGCGAGAAAGGCTATACTAAGTAATTCATCACACAGCAAGGGTTCGGTGAGAAAAGTGCTGTGATCAATTACTGATGTCTGCCGTGGGCTTAGGAGGATTCAGTCCTCATGTTATGCGTTTGCCACTCCTGTAATTAGACTAGGGCAAATCTCAGTCTGCCTTGCAATGCTGCCTATAGAACAGCTCCAAAGTAACACAAAATGGAGGCATTTCTAATTTAGAAGAAAGAATTTCTATGCCTCTTAGGAGATTGGAAAGGGGCAAGTAAAAAGATCCTTAAGATCAAAGGTGACTGATATAAACAACTTTTTCTTTGCTCTAGGAATGAACCTCTTCAGCCGTGATTTCCTTTTCAGTACAATTCGGCAATTCATCAAACATTTAGTGAGTGGATAGGATAGGCGAGGCACTGTGCTAGGTGCTAGGGATAGATACAAAGATGAGTAAGAAATGCTCTCTGCCCTTAGGAATTTTTTCAGCCTAGTGGAGAAGATAGACAGACTTTTAATGAAATCAAAGGGCATTTTCAGTATTGTATTTTCTTTTCTAGGATGAAAGCAATTTTCTCCTTGGTCATAGATGCCAAGAACTTTCAAGAACTGGGCAGAGCAGAAGTGCCTGTGCAAATGCCTTATGGGTTCCATGGTACCTTCGTACCCATCTGATGGGACAACCACAAGGTCTGGGAACTAGATGTGAAATGAATGTTTTCTGTACAACAGAGAGAACAAAAAGGCACCCTGCCTTCCAAACCATAGACACTTGAGTTTTAAATTTCTGTCAAAAACAGAATTCATGACATACTTACGGTTTTATATTTTCTTACTGCTCTTCTTTGAAAACATTAAGCAAGTGTTGATACAGCCTTTTGAAGAGGGTTTTAAATTTACATTTACTGGCTGTATTGTCCTCTGCCCCATGCGTCTGTCAGTTTGTCGTACTGTGGTGGCTTGCGTGTTGCTGTGATGCTGGAAGCTAAGCTACCGGTATTTCAAATACCAGCAGGGTCACTACTGGTGGATAGGTTTCAGTTGAGCTTCCAGACTAAGACATACTAGGAAGAAGGACCTGATGGTCTACTTCTGAAAAAATTAGCCAGTGAAAACCTTATGAATAGCAGTGGAACATTGTCTGATATAGTGCCAGAAGATGAGCCCTTCAGGTTGGAAGGCACTCAGTACTTCTGGAGAAGAGCAGCCTCCTCAAAGTAGAGTCGACCTTAATGATGTGGATGGACTCAAGCTTTTGGGACCTTCATTTGCTGATGTGGCATGACTTAAAATGAGAAGAAACTGCTGCAAACATCCAATAATAATTGGAAAGTGGAATATACGAAGTATGAATCTAGGAAAATTGGAAACCGTCAAAAGTGAAATGGAACACATAAACATCAACATCCTAGGCATTAGTGAGCTAAAATGCACTGGTATAGGCCATTTTGAATCAGACAAGCATATGGTCTACTATGCCGGGAATGACAACTTGAAGAGGAATGGTGTTGCATTCATCGTCAAAAAGAACATTTCAAGATCTATCCTGAAGTACAATGCTGTCAGTAATAGGATAATATCTATATGCCTATAAGGAAGACCAGTTAATATGGCTATTATTCAAATTTACGCACCAACCACTAAGGCCAAAGATGAAGAAATCGAAGATTTTTACGAACTTCTACAGTCTGAAATTGATCAAACACATAATCAGGATGCATTGATAATTACTTGTGATTGGAATTTTAAAGTTGGAAACAAAGCAGAAGGATCGGTAGTTGGAAAATATGGCCTTGGTGATAGAAATGATGCCAGAGATTGCATGATAGAATTTTGCAAGACCAATGACTTCTTCACTGCAAATACCTTTTTTCAACAACATAAACGATGACTATATACGTAGACCTCGCTGGATGGAATACACAGGAATCAAGTCGTCTACATCTGTGGAAACAGATGATGGAAAAGCTCAATATCATCAATCAGAACAAGGCCAGAGGCTGTCTGCAGAACAGATCATCAATTGCTCATATGCGAGTTCAAGTTGAAGCTGAAAAAAATTAGAACAAATCCATGAAAACCAAAGTCTGACCTGAATTTAGAGACCATCTCGAGAATAGACTTGACACATTGAACACTAATGACTGAAGACCAGACGAATTATGGAATGACATCAAGGGCATCATACATGAAGAAAGCAAGGGGTCATTAAAAAGACAGGAAAGAAAGAAAAGACCAAAAGGGATGTCAGAAGAGACTCTGATACTTACTCTTGAATGTCAGGCAGCTAAAGCGAATGGAAGTAATGATGAAGTAAAAGAGCTGAGATGAAGATTTCAAAGAGCAGCTCGAAAAGACAAACTAAAGTATTATAATGACATGTGCAAAGACCTGGAGTTAGAAAACCAAAAGGGAAGAACACGCTTGGCAGTTCCCAAGCTGAAAGAACTGAAGAAAAAATTCAAGCCTCGAGTTGTAATACTGAAGGATTCTACGGGTAAAATATTAAATGATGCAGGAAACATCAAGAGAAGATGGAAGGAATACTCAGAGTCACTGTACCAAAAAGAATTGGTTGACATTCAGCCATTTCAGGAGGTAGCATATGATCAAGAACCAATGGTACCAAAGGAAGAAGTCCAAGCTGCACTGAAGGAATTGGCAAAAAGCAAGGCTCCAGGAATTGATGGAACACCAACTGAGGTATTCCAACAAACTAATGCAACTCTGGAGGTGCTCAGTCATCTATGCCAAGAAATTTGGAAGACAGCTACCTGGTCAACTGACTGGAAGAGGTCCATATTTGTACCCATTCCAAAGAAAGGCGATCCAACAGAATGTGGAAATTATTGAACAATATCATTATTATCGCACACAAATAAAATTTTGCTGAAAAGCATATAAAAGTGGTTGCAGCAGTACATCGAGAGGGAACTGCCAGAAATTCGAGTCAGATTCAGAAAGGACATGGAACAAGGGATATCATTGCTGATGTCAGATTGTACTTGGCTGAAAGGAGAGAATACCAAAAAGATGTTTACCTGTGTTTTATGGACTATGCAAAGGCATTTGACTGTGTGGACCATAACAAATTATGGATAACGTTGCAAAGAATGGAAATTCCAGAACACTTAATTGTGCTCATGAGGAACCTGTGCATAGATCAAGAGGCAGACATTTGAACAGAACAAGGTGGTACTGCGTGGTTTATTCAAGAATGATGTGTGTCAGTGTTGTATCCTTTCACCATACTTATTCAATCTGTGGGAGCCCTGGTGGCACAGTGGTTGAGAGCTTGGCTTTTAAGCAAAAGATCAGCAGTTCAAATCCACCAGCTGCTCGTTGGACACCTTATGGGGCAGTTCTACTCTGTCCTATATGGTTGCTATGAGTCGAATGGACTCGACAGTAATGAGTTTTTTTTTTTTTTTATTTTAAATCAACCTGTATGCTGAGCAAATAATCCGAGAAGCTGGACTATATAAAGAAAACCGCGGCATCAGAATTGGAGAAAGTCTCACTAACAATCTGCGACATGCAGTTGACACCATCTTCCTTGCTGAAAGTGAAGAGGACTTAAAGTACTTACCAATGAAGATCAAAGACCACAGCCTTCAGTATGTATGTTGATTACACCTCAATATAAAGAAAACAAAAATCCTCACAACTGGACCAATAAGCACCATCATGATAAATGGAGAAAAGATTGAAGTTGTGAAGGATTTAATTTTACTTGGATCCACAATCAACAGCCATGGAAGCAGCAGTCAAGAAATCAAAAGATACATTGCATTGGGCAAATCTGTGGCAAAACACCTCTTTAAAGTGTTAAAAAGCAAAGATGTCACTTTAGGAACTAAGGTGTGCCTGACCCAAGCCATGGTGTTTTCAATTGCCTCATATGCATGTGAAAACCGGACGATGAATAAGGAAGACCAAAGAAGAGTTGATGCCTCTGAATTACGGTGTTGGCAAAGACTACTGAATATACTATGGACTGCCAGAAGAATGAACAAATCTCTCTTGGAAGAAGTACAATCAGAATACTCCTTAGAAGCAAGGATAGCGAGACTTCGTCTCATATATTTTGGACATGTCATCAAGAGGGACCAGTCCCTAGAGAAGGACATCATGCTTGGTAGAGGGTCAGCGAAACAGAGGAAGACCCTCAACAAGACGGATTGACACAGTGGCTGTTGCAATGGGCTGAAGCATAACAACGATGGTGAGGTTGGTGCAGGACCAGGCAGTGTTTCGTTCTGTTGCACTTAGGATCCCTATGAGTCGGAACTGACTGGATGACCCCTAACAACAACAACAACATCTCCCTCTGAGTAATAAAATGAATACATGAAAGGAAAACTAAAACTGAATCATTACCACCACCAGATATGTGGGTGACCCAGGTCTTCAAACTTGTGAGAAAAAATATAAATGATCACAGATTGTAGATTTTGAATATAGATCTGAAAAGCACCTTGTTTTTTTCTGCCTCTTACCATTGGTGCTAAGGTACTCATAGATGACAGGAACCCCACTATAACATGCTTGGAGGCGCCTTCTAAACGGGCCATTTCTCTGCTGTCCACAGCAGATATCACTGCAGTTGCATTAACCCTTCCAAGCACCACCCATTATCACCCCCTCCCTGCCCCCAGCTTGGCCTTGAGAAGTGGTTGTTTTGAGGAGCATCACTAAAATCAAGTATTTTTTCTAATCTCCTGGTGCACAGTTCTCCAGGGATTGATGAAAGCTCGTAGTTCTTCATTTATTTGGACAACAGGTGGCACTAGAGACCATATAATCTAAACCCCACTGGGGCTTTGTTTTTCACCAACAGCCTTAACCAGTCTAGATCTCAAAATCTGTCACTTAAACCACACTCTTGCCAACACCTTCGAAATCCCTTGCTCCCTTTTCTTTCAGTTATACGCCCCTCCTCTGGCTGAACTCTAAATCCTGGACCAATTAAACTGTCCACTCTCCCTCTGCATGTTGAATATTGCTAGAATAGCCCCCAAACATGAGGCACTGGTGGTTCAGTGGGAGAATTTTCGCCTTCCACACAGATTCCTGGCCAATGCGGCTCATGTGCAGCCACCACCCATCTGTCAGTGAAGGCTTGCATGTTGCTATGATGCTGAACAGGTTTCAGTGGAGTTTCCAGATTAAAATCCATTAGGAAGAAAGGCCTGACGATCTACTTCTGAAAGTCAGCCAGTGAATACTCTATGGATCACAATGGTCTGATCTGTAACCGATCATCGGGATGGCACAGGACTGGGCAGTGTTTAGTTTCCTTTTACATGGGGTCACCATTAGTCAGGGGCCGACCAACAGCAGCTACAACAACTCCCCCCAGATGGCAACTGTGAACTCATGGTCTCTAACCTCATTTAGGCTCACTACACAGTCCTGGTCCAACACATCAGTTCCGTAATTTTCCTTAAGAGTTATTCAAGCTTCACAAACACTATCATCTTCAGTGAAGTGTTGTACATGTACAAATGCCATATGGGGGGTTTTGCATTGTGGCAATAAAGTAAAAGGGCTAAGTTCCATGTCTGGATTGGTGAGATGCAGAACAGCAACAGCAGGTTTGGAATGGCTGCCTAAACATAAGAAGATGCCTAAACAGAACTAACTCAGCTTAAAGCCTGTAGTAACCGTGAGAACCCAAGTCCCCTGATATTTCACAGAAGTCCCTGAAAAGGCATTGTCCTCTCCCGTGACATGACATGGAAGTTTGATCTGTCTTACCTAGACCTTAAGGGTGAAGACCATGCTGGCTGATATCTGGAAAGCACACAGACCTAATCATATCTTTCCTTTGTTTAAAAACCTTTAATCCATCCTAATACACAATGAGTGAAGTTCAAACATATAAAGGTTAGCAATATAATCATAAGATTTTGCTCCAAGGATGCCTGAATTCTCCCTTGGCCCTGCCTGAAGGAGAAGACAAAAAACAATCAATGACATTTTGTAATCTAAGCATGTATGCCTGGTAATCCAGTGTAGAACATTTTGGTAATATGTGAGTGAACATTTAACTAAGTAAGGCTCAAAGCCGAGGCAGCACCTCTTCTTCTTCCTATCCCTAAGCCCAACTCTTATCAACAGCCAGTGTCCAGAGACACCAGGAAAGGAAGTATGTGGTGCACAAGTGAGGGGAAAAAGGAGAGAGAGATGGCCTAGCCTATCCGAAGGGGCCAGCCTCTGGGTCAGCTTACTACAGGGAAGCAAGAAGTACAACAGAACAGTGAGTAAGATGACCAGGCCTACCTGGAGGAGGGATGGGACTGGGGACTTTGGCCCAGTTTATTCCTCAAAGCATAGCACCAGAGAATAAGCTACAACTATGTGTGGGACTTTTAACACATTGTGACCCTGCCTGAGAGTAAACAAGGCCCAGTGAGTGTCTGGAAATGAGATTCAATCAGATAAGAATTCCCTTCTCTTAGCAAGGAACTAAGAGAGAGGTAAGAAGGGAGTGCAGCCTCCTCTGCTTTATACTTAAAGTGACATTCCAGGCTCTTCAATAATTTGGTCCCCAATCTATGTTTCCAGTCTCATCTCTCACCTGTCTCCCCATTGCCGTCAAGAACTTGTCACTATGCATTAAATGAGCTGCGCTTGTCCACGTTTCCTTTGCTTACTCTATTTTCTTTTTCTGAAATTCTCATCTCTTCTTATCCACTTGGGGAACTCCTTTAAAATCTAACTTAAAAATCATCTCCTCTTTGAAGCTTTTGCTTTCTGAGGCAGAATTAGTCTTTTTTTAGTTTGTCTTGGTATTGTTTCTGTGTTCGGCTCCCACATTAAACTGAACTCTATGAGTACAGGGACCATGTGTTTGTTATTCATCTTTGTGTCTCTGGCACTTAGCAGAGTGCCTGGCATTTAAGAGATGTTAAGTAAACACTTGTTAATGAATGAATAAGAACTAGAAGGTGACTGATATAGGGGCTACCTTGCCAATATATGTCCTTTTGTATACTCTATGTTATCTCTTAAGGGAAGTGAGCCTACTTAGTCCTGCCTTAGTAGAAAAAAGCCTTGCCTTACTAGGTGCAGACAGTTGCACCAGTAAAGTAGACACTACATCTAAATGGCTGTTGATCTCAAAGTATTGAAAGTTAAGGGGAATGTTGTTTGCTTATTGGTTAGTTAGGGTCACTGAGTATGACTCTGGTGGGTAGCCTTATATAGAACTAAACCAAAACCCAAACCAAATCGGTTGCCATCTAGTCGATTCTGACTCATAGTGACCCAGAGTAGAACTACCCCATAAGATTTCCAAGGATCGGCTGGTGGATTCGAACTGCCAACCTTTAGGTTAGCAGCTTGAGCTCTTAAACCACTGCGCCACCAGGGCTCCTATACAGAGCCAGTTTTAATTAAATAATTTACAGCCAGAACTCTGTGAATGCAGTGCAATATTTTACTAAAGCAATCAAGTAATAAAAGCAATTTCTCAGAAATTTCTTCTACCCTTTTACTTTTTGTTGTATTTTCCTGCTTTAAACGGATTAAAGCGTTTGTGAAACCACTGCCTGTTAGAAAGTATTCTGATGTAGTCAATACCTGGGAAATACTATATAGTCTGAGTGGCCTAAAGCTGATCAGATATAAAAATCAAGGCCGCTAAGTTCCCACCTCCCTTATCTGACAGCTCCAAGGTATGTCTAGCTATCTGAACTCTTTGTTATCGGAGGAGATTCAGATACGAAGAACCCTTGTAGCTGCTTCCAGACGGAAGTAGGCTCCCGGGGCCGGGACCGCCTAGAGTCCAGCTCCAAGTAGGAGAGAAGCCGAGGAGCGCTTCCGGGGACGTGCGGGACCACACTGCGCAGCCGCGGAGGCAGGCACCTCCCATCGCAGCCTACCGCAGTCCGGGAGAAGATGAGCGTGCCCGGCTCCACCCGTCGCCGCCATGCGCAAGTGTCGCGCTTAGTCTTCTTCAGCGCGAGCCACCGGCTCCACAGGTGTGGTGTGCCTACAGGTGCCAGTAGTGGGAGGCGGGGCACCTGCACTGCTGCAGAACATTATCGGAGGCGGGGCCGGGGGACGTACAGACGTGCTTTCGTTCGAGCCCCTGTGGGGGGGACATGGTGACGGAGGGGCGTCGTCTGCGAACTGAGGCTTGAGGGGCGCGCGCTTGGTGGCTTTGTGTGGCGGCCGAGCTTTATTGATAACAAAAATAACAGGGACAACTAGAGTTGACCGAGTTCTTGAAGCAGTAAAGCGTGGTGGTTAACAGAACCGACTACTCCGTAATACGTCCTGGATTGGGAACCTAGAGGCACCACTCACTAGCTCTGTGGCCTGAAGGCGCTTCTTTGTCCCTCAGATTTCCTTAGTTTAGCTCCATGAGTTGCCGTAAAGTTTAAAGAAGTTAAACTTGGCCAGATTACACAGTGTCCAGCACATTGTAAACACTCAATAAATGTTAGCTAGCATCATCTGCCAGGAGCATTAGCTACCGTATCAAATAAAATTACAAGGTAAGTTTTATTCCCTTTTAACCGAAGATGAAATGAGTCCAGAGATTGTTTCCTAAGGCAACTCAGAGCAAGCAGCACGGTTTGAATTTGAATCTAGGGCTCTCAGATTACACTAGAGTGACTCTGAGGATAGATTTACGATTCACTAGTAAGCCCCACTCACTGAGCCTCCCATTTTCTCGTCCATAAAATGAGGATAAGGAGCCTTGGTGGTGCAACAGTTAAGTGCTTGGTTGCTAACCAAAAGGTTGTCGTTTAGAACCCATCATGGAAGAAAGACCTGGTGATCTGCTCGCTTAAAGATTAACCAAACCTGTTGGGGTCCAGTCGATTCATACTCACAGCCACCCTATAGGACAGAGTAAAACTGCCCCATAGGGTTTCCAAGGCTGTAAATCTTTAGGGAAGCAGACTACCACAACTTTCTCCCTTAGACTGGCTGGTGGATTTGAACCACTGACCTTTTTGCTTAGTGGCCCAGCACTTTAACCACTGCACCACCAAGGCTCCCCCCATTTAAGATTATGGCCTAGAAAACCCTTTGGGACAGTTCTGCTCTGTCACATGGGGTTGCTGTGAGTCCAAAGTCAACTTTGTTGGGCACCCAACAACAACAGCAAAATGATAGTAATTCATCCATCCATTTGATGGATAGATATTCCTTGAGTGCCGCTCAGGTCATGACCTAGGCGACATGGAAGCCGCAGTGATCAACAGACCTATCACTGCCTACTTTCTGGGGTTTACAATCTGGCCAGTTTTGTGGAGAGTACAAGGAATGATTTTGTGCAAAACATTTGTGAATTGTAGCACTCAATCTGAGAAGTAGATGAGCAGGGTACAGTAAGGGAAATAAAGAGTATCTTGAATAGGAAGCTCAAACATGAGGATGGTGAGGCCTCATAGAAGATGCAGAAGTTGGTTGGGTGGGTATAGGTATAAAAATTCATTAAGTAAGTTGTTCTTTGTCTGGATCAACAGCTAATCAGGCATAGGGAGAGGGAGGGATGCAGAGCGGGGCACTTGCCCTGGGGGTGCAAGTGCATGGGGGTGCCAGATGAGGCACAGAATGATAATCAGGGCACCACAAATATGAAGGACACCTGGCTGAGGCAGCTGGACAGGAGTAGGGGAAGGCATTTCTGCTAATGTGTCGCCCACTATCAATGTCTATTCGTCTTGAGATTGGTGGGGAAGCCGGGCGGGGGGGAGTGCAATTTAGAGATTGCCCGTGGGTACTAGAATTTGGGGGTGGAGGCAATTTAGAGATTGCTCTTGGGTGCTGGAATTGGGGGTGGGGGCACAATTTAGAGATTGCCCCTGGGAGCTAGTAACCCTCCTTAGTCCCTGCTAAGTATTGTAGCTTTTTATGTCAACTAATTTGAATACTTCTCAAGTATTGTTGGTGAAGTTAACATCAAGAAACAGTTGAGGCATTGTTAAAAGAAGAGACTTACTGGGTTCATGCAATTATTTTCAGGAGCAATGAGATTTGAAGCCACTTGAGAACAAGAATCTTCTTTTATTTATCATTATATGCCCTTCCTTCGTTCAATGTGTGCCTAGTACATAGTAGATACTCTAAATGTTTTTGTTGAATTGAAAAAAAACGGAAGTGCCATCAAGGGCAGATCATTTGTTGGAATCTGTTGTTGTGGAACAAAAGGAATGAATTTAAGGTTTACTTATGCTAATTTGTATGGTACAGTAGTCTAATTAGGGAGTGTATATTGGTTCCTGACAGTATAGTTGGAGTAATGAAATCAAATTGATTTCTGACTCCGCATATGGTGAGTTAAGGTAATAACAAATTGTGAAGCTTTTCAAAGGTCAGAACAAGTAGTAAATGAAAGGAATAGAAAAGGAGTCTGAACGTGATACTTGCAGCATACTGACTTTTTTCTTTTGTCAGCAAGTCTCTGAGTGATGAAGAAAACTTGAAACTGTTTGGGAAATGCAACAATCCAAATGGCCATGGGCACAATTACAAAGGTAAGAGAAAAATGATGAGACTTTAGCCCTTTCAATAAGGATTAAAGATTGTTCAGCAAATATAGACTTACTGAGTAAGAAACCTTGTGGACAGAGCAGGAGTGCTTTGAGTGTTGAATCAAAAATTAAGTGGAAGTTCAAAACGAAAATGGAAGTTCAAAATGCCGGGTTTGGATGCATCTTCCATTACCTCTCAATTGTCTGTTCTGTTGCAGATAGTCTAAAATGATGAATAGCTGAAATAATTTTTTTCTTGGCCTTAGGGTGTATACTATTCTTTTGGCAGCATGTTTCCTTCTCATTGGGTCTGGCGGAGGCTACTATTAAAATTAGATTGTATTCTTAGAGTAAATAATGACTGACAAAAGGAGAATATTGTCTAGAAATGTGCTAAAGGGCAGAAGAATAGGCCAGGTCTAAAACTTTGCCGTCAGTCTTCTAAAAAAGTTATTAATTTGTGCAAGGATAGAAGATTTGATTGAGATACAGCTGATGCCTCAGAAAGCTGCTACATATGCCATAGAGTATGATGGCATATGGTGTGGTGGAGTAAAAGAGCAGACAAAGTATTAGAAGATTGGGATGCAGTCTGTTATTTGATCTGTGATGTCTCTCAGTCTCGACTTACTCACTTATCCCATAATACCTAATGATGTTTGTATGGAGCTGAAAAAAATAAATACCATATTTTCCTGCAAGTATCATGCCCACACATATAACATGCATAGCGAGCCTAGGAAAATCATGCACAAGGGGCTTGCATGGTTGGCAAAAAAAAGCATAATGCGTGTGTTCTTTGCGTAAAAATATGGTATATAAAAGTTGTTAATTTTTAGATGAGTCCCTGGATGGCACAGACATTTAAGCACTCAGCTACTAGCCAAAAGGATAATGGTTTAAACCCACCCAGAGACATTTTGGAAGACAGGCATGGCGATATGCTTGCAAAAGGTCACAGCCTTGAAAACCCTATGAAGTAGTTCTACTCTGCACACATGGGGTTGCCATGAGTCAGAATCAACTCGATGGCAGCTAACAACAACATTAATTTTTAAAGCACTGATCGCCAAGACTTTTCAAATGCTTTCTATGAGCATTTGTTAATTCTCAAAGCATTACTGTAAACCCTGTGTATATTACTGTGAGTAAAGGGATAAGAGTTGAAGGCCTAGTAGTAGTTTTACTTGCTCAGAAAGGATTATCCGGAAGCGAACCAACTCTGTGTGTAGCTGGAAACCTGCCTGTGCATTTTTTGTTTTTACAGGCAGAAATTGGGCAGCATTGCCTTACCACATAGGGAATCAACATCATAAGCTGAATTTACACCCTTTTTGTCCTTGGCTTCTACTACTAAGCTCCTCTGTCTTGGTTGAGTCTTGCTTTGTTTGATACAGAAAGAACAACTGTTTGCGGGAAAATGATAGCTTTGGGTGGGGAGATGTAATTGTTAATTTATGTTGCTAACTTGTGTTTGGATGTTAATCTGTTGAAAGTCATGCTGGTCTTTTGGTATTTTTGTTTTCTTTCCCATAGTTGTGGTGACAGTACATGGAGAGGTACGTGTTGAAAATATTTATGTGGTTTGTGCAGATTGCTGAGCCGTCCTTCAGCTAACATGGTGGAATCTGTGTTGAAAACTCTGTTCCAGTCAGTATTTCTTCGTTGCTTTTGTGTGTGTGGTGAGCTGCTGTCATTCCAGGCTACTCCTCTCCAAAGTGTTGTCTTTAATGTGCTATATATGGACAGGCAGAAGAGCATACAGTGGAAAGGGTGCCTGAAGTACATGGTGTTCCCATGCTGAGATCGATGATTGTCACAGGGATGAAGGCAAATGTGGGCACAATCTCTGCACATTGCACAGTCTTTAATAACAAGTTTGTTTAAATGTGAAGAGCCTATTGTAGTAATATTCAGCTTTGTTTATTCTTTAGATTGATCCTGTTACAGGAATGGTTATGAATTTGACCGACCTCAAAGAGTATATGGAGGTAATGGCAATATTGTGTGCTTATTATGTGCTGTCCCTTAAGTATAATACTTAATGGCTCCATAAGGAGCCCTGGATGGAAACCCTGGTGGCTTAGTGGTTAAGAGTTCGGTTGCTAACCAAAAGGTTGGCAGTTCCAATCCACCAGGCACTCCTTGGAAGCTCCATGGGGCAGTTCTACTCTATCCAGTAGGGTTTGCTATGAGTTGGAATCGACTCAACGACAACAAGTACGGGTAAGGAGCCCTGGTGGTGTGGCGGTTAAGTGCTCAACTGCTAACCAAAAGGTCAATGGTTTGAACCCCCCAGCCGCTCCATAGGAGAAAGATGTGGCTATCTGCTTCTGAAAAGATTTACAGCCTTGGAAACCGTATGGGGCAGTTCTGCTCTATCCTGTAGGGTAACAATGAGTTGGAATTGACTCGAAGGCAATGGGTTTTTTTTTTTTTCACCTCCCTAACTGAATATTTCCAGAAGTTCTATGACCTTGTGAGTGGAATTGAGTGTGGGAGTGGGGGAGTAGTTGGAAGTACTAGTCTCGTGGCCTTCTAAGGTTGTTTGGGTGACTTGCTGGAAATTAGGCACAATTGTGTTACAGTGATAGGAGTAAATGTAGCATACTGGTCATGTGTTCCTTGCTTGGAATATACTGATTTCTTCCATTTAATAATTTCTGTCCTTTTTCAAGACACAACTTTTTCCTTGAAGCTTTCTTTTCCTTCTCTGAATTTTCCTTGAGCCTTTGGTCATAGATTTTTAATGCCTCCATGTTGTTTTATTCACTCTTGCTTTATTATAAACTCAACTGGGGCATATCACTGACAGATGAACACACAAGGTATTCAATAAATAAGTTATTGATTGTGTCATTATAGAATTTTTGCATTGCAAGAAAACTTAGAGATTATCTAAGCCAACTTCTTCATTCCATAGATTAAGATGGAGAGATGCTGAACAGTTAACTGATTTGTCCTATATCATATCCTTAGTCATTTGCAAAGTTGGGAGCAGATTTTCTTCTATCCAGCTTAGTGTTTATTATGTCAACATTTCACCTGTTCATTTAGTTCTTTACTTCAGCTCTGCTGCTTAATTTTAATTTTAATTAAAAGAATTAGTACTTGTTTAATAAAAATGCCGTTATTAATAATTATTAGTCACATTAGTGAGGAGTCCTGGTGACACATTGGTTCTAAGTGCTCAACTGCTAACCAAAAGGTCAGCAGTTCAAACTCACCAGCCACTCTGCAGGAGAAAGATGTGGCAGTCTGCTTCCATAAAGATTTATAGCCTTGGAAACCCTATGGGGCAGTTCTACTCTGTCCTGTAGGCTTGCTATGAGTCGGAATCGACTCAAGGGCAATGTGTTTTTTCACATTAATTAACATCTGTATATTTAATACATTTGCCTACTTTGCATTAATCTTTGTAGTAAGGTCTAGGAATACAAAGATGAATGAGATATAACCCTTGTCCACAGAGTACTTTTTCTAGGGGGTAAATAATAAGTGCTCAGAAAGTGGTTGTTGAATAAATGACTAAGAGATTGAATGAATGAACAAACAGCACTGTGCTCAAGGTACTTTAGGAAAGCTATAAAGACAGAGTTCTTGCATGCATTGGGGACATACTGTAGATATACACAAAGTGTGGTACAGTACAAGACAACAATATGAAGTGTTCCAAGCAGGCATCTACACTTTTTCCCACCTTTGTTTACCTGAAGGACAGCACTCACTCCTGTCAGTAAATATGGCTCATCCTGGTATATAGAATAAAGTTAGAAAAAGCCCTGCAGATGAGGCTTCAGTGTAGGATTTGGGACCTGAACTGGGATTGCAGATAAAGCAAAGGTATTTATTTTCTTGATATCCATATGGAGCATCCTTTCATTTGATTTGATTCAAAGGCTGTTTGATCTGGGACATACTCTTTTTAGATGATCCTGATTTTGCTCAAGAAACTATCTCTACTATTGTTAACATACCCCTCTTGAAACCATATCATATGGAAAATTAGATTGCTTCACAAATGCATAGAATTTGTATAATAGTTAAAAGTAAAAACCTAGAAAGAATAAAGCAATTACAGTTCTTGCTAATGACAAGGAAAAACTTTATATTAATATATATAAGCATTAAGAAGTAATAGTTTTTACATATTTACAATACTTTTTTCTTCTAAGAGCCCAAGATTATTCTTAAAATTTCTCATAGCAAAAATTTACTACTTACATTTTAGTCTTAGTCTGGTTCCTAGAGTGTAGTACACACTGGAGCCTTGTCCTGATGATATTGTGGCATCGTGTTGTAGGTGAGACTGTGTAATGGAGAAGTGTTTCTGGTAACTTTTTGGACAGAATCCAAGAAGCGTTAAACTGAGTTGGGAATCGCAATGACTTATGTTACAGAAGACTCCAGTGAATTCTCCTCTGCTTTTTGGTTTCTCATCTCCTTGCACTCAGTGACAAGAGGATAACTAATCACAGACAGCTGGGCCACTTTATCTTATGACTTTAGACTTTTAAGATTGCTGTGTGAGGCACAGATAGAGTACTTACACGTATTGAGTTAGTGGCTAAATGATAAGGGTAAGGTGTAGAATTGAAAAATAGGTGTAAAACTCTGGAATTTAAGTCATAAATGGAGTCAATGATCTTTTCCCTTCGTTTTGTCTCTAGGAAGCAATTATGAAGCCTCTTGATCATAAGAATCTGGATCTGGATGTCCCATACTTTGCAGATGTTGTGAGGTGAGTGTTATTATCTTGTTTATATAGATAGTAAAAAAGAAGAATTGATTTTAACATTTTATATGATTGATTTGGGATTTCTAAAATTTAGTTGAATCATTTTTTAAAAACTAGAACCTCTGTTCTATGTAAATATTGAACATAAAATTTTATCATTAGCTTTTAAACTTCTTTATTTTTTTCTACAGCACGACAGAAAATGTAGCTGTATATATCTGGGAAAACCTCCAGAAATTTCTTCCTGTGGGAGTGCTTTATAAAGTAAAAGTGTATGAAACTGACAATAATATTGTAGTTTATAAAGGAGAATAGCTCTTAGGGATTAATATTGTAGAAAGACTAATTACTTTCCATGTTTGAAAATTATCTTTGTCCCGTTGGAGTGTTAAGAAGTCATCACATAATGGTTGTACTTCCACATTGTGTTCTGGAGTTATTGTAAATTTAAATATATTTTAAAACCAAATTTGTGATGTATCTTGAATATCATTTAGAGTCTTTATCTATAGATTAAAAGTCATTGTCTGCAAAATGTTTTTGTGTGAAATTGTTTGAAAGCAAAGGAGATCTGTTTTTATTGTTATTTCTCCATTATCTCATTTTTGGTATCAATTTTTTCTTTGCATATATGACTGGTAAAATGTTTATCAGATTTACACTAGGTAAATCTTACAAAAAATAAGGGGCCACAAAGTCTTGAAACGTAGACTATATATATACATATATATGTGTATATACATATATATATTCTTTTTTTTTGCCAGTTCAACTTTTTACAAGTGTACAATTTATTGACAGCAGTTACAGTAGTTGGCTGTGCAGCCTTACCTATAATCAATGTGATATTTCCGTCACTGTTAACCCCTCCTTTCTCTCTCCCTCCTGCCCCCGGTAACTGCTAATAAAGTTTGTTGTCTATACATTCGCCGTTTCTTGTCTTTTTATATAAGTGAGATCGTATAATATTTGTCCTTTTTGTGACTGACTTATTTCACTCACCATAAACAGCTCCACTCATATGTAGCATGTATCAAGACTTCATTTCTCCTACTGGCTTAGTAGTTTTTGTTTATCCATTTCATCTGTTGGTGGGTATTTAGGTTGTTTCCACCTTTTGGCTACTGTGAATAGTGCTACAATGAACATTGGTTTACAAGTCTCTGTTTTGAGTCTCTGCTTTCAACTCTTTTGGGTGTATACTTAGGAGTAGAATTTCTGGGTCATATGTAGTTCTATTTTTAGTTTTTGAGGAACCACCACACTGTTTTCCACAACAGCAGTACCATTTTGCGTTCCTACCAGCACTAAGGGTCCCAGTTTCCCCACATCCTCACCAACATTTGTTATTTTTTATCTTAGCCATTGTAGTGGGAGTGAAAATGGTATTTCATTGTGGTTTTGATTTGCATCTCTCTGATGGCTGATGACGCTGAGTGTCTTTTCATGTGTTTGGTAGCTATTTGAATGTCCTCTTTGATGAAATGCCTATTCAAGTCCTTTGCCCATTTTATGATTGGGTTATTTGTCTTTTTGTTGTTAAGATGTCAAAGTTTTATATATATTTTGGTTATTAGCTTCTTGTGGGATATATATAGTTTCTGCCGGTAGCTTGTCTTTTCACTTTTTTAGTAAAGTCTTTTGATGAACAAAATTTTTAATTTTTATGAGGTTCCATTTATTTATCTTGTTTTTTGCTGTTTGTGCTTTTATTATATTAGATAATATTGTTGAAAGCTAGACCTGACAGCGTTGTCCATGCTTTCTCTTCTAAGAATTTTGTGGTTTTAGTTTGCACCTTTAGATCCTTAATCCATTTTAAATTTGTTATTTTGTATGGTGTGAGGCATAGATTCTGTTTCATTTTTCTGCATGTGGCAATCTAATTTTCCCAGCACCGTTTATTGAAGAGACTCTTCTTTCCCTATCGAATAGACTTAGCACCTTTGTCAAAAATCAGTTGACCATAGATGTGCAGGTTTATTTCTGAACTCTGTATTCTGTTGGTCTGTGTGTCTATTGTTATATCAGTACGAGGCTGTTTTGGTAACCGTGGCTGTACAGTATGTTTTAAAATGTTCTGCTTTTTCAACATTGCTTTGGCTTTTCAGGGCCTCTTGCCATTCCATGTATAGCTGAGGATTAGTTTTTCTGTTTGTGTAAAGAAGGCTGTTGGAATTTTAATCAGGATTGCATTGAATGTATAGATTGCTTTGGGTAGTATTGACATCTTAACAGTATTAAGTCTTCCAGTCCATGAACATGGAACAGCTTTCCATTTAAGTTGTCTTTAATCTCTTTCAGCAGTGTTTTATAGTTTTCACTGTATAAGTCTTTCATATTCCTGGTTAGATTTATTCCGAGGTATTTTATTTTCTTAGATGCTATTGTAAATGGAATTGTTTCCCTAATTTTGCATTCAGATTTCTCGTTGCTGGTGTGTGGAAGCTCAACTGATTTTTGTTTGTTGACCATGTACCCTGCAACTTTGCTAAATTCCTGTATTAGCTCTAGAAGTTTTCTTGTGGACTCTGAGATTTTCTATATACAGGAAGTCCCCAAGTTATGAACGTCCAACTTACATATAGCCCGTAGTTGCAAACCAGCCCCCATAAAGTCTATTGTATTAAAAATTCGAGGTAAAAAACAATCGTTTGTAATAACAAATGACCACTGCTTTGTGACACATATCAAAACATTATTATTATTTTATTATTATGTTAAAGATGTTTTAGTATATCCAGAAGTGTTTCTTTAATGTTTTTTATGCATAGAAAGGTACATACTGTATACTAAGACAAACATTTAACTGACGTTAGATACAAACCGTACCTGTTTCCAGTTACTTACAAATTTGACTTAAAGACAGACGTTAGGAATGGAACTTGTTCGTATTCTGTGGACTGCCTATATAGGATCCAATCATCTGTGAGTAGAGATAATTTTCCTTCTTCTTTTCCAATCTGGATACCTTTTATTTCTTTTTCTTGTCTTATTGCTCTGGCTAGGACTTTGAATACAATATTGAATAGAAGTGGTGAAAGCAGGCACCTTTGTCTTGTTACCGATTTCAAGGGTAAAGCTTTCAGTCTCTCTCCATTAAGTATAATGTTGGCTGTTGGCTTTTCATATATATGCTGAACCATATTGAGAAATTTCCCTTCTATTCTAGTCTTCTTAGGGTTTTCATCAAAAAAGGGTATTAGATTTTATCAAATGCTTTTTCTGCATCCAAAGAGATGATCATGTCGTTTTTTCCTTTGTTCTATTGACGTGGTATATCGTGTTGATTGATTTTCTAATGTTGAACCATCCCTGCATTTCTGGAATAAATCCTACTTGGTCATGGTGTTTGACTCTTAATATGCTGTTGGATTCTGTTTGCTAGTAGTTTCTTGAGGATATTTGCATCTATAGTCATGAGAGATATTGGCCTGTAGTTTTTTTTCTTGTGATGTCTTTGTCTGGTTTGGGTATCAGGGTTATGTTTGCTTCATGGAATGAATTAGGGAGTATTCCTTCCTTCTCTATCTTTTGGAAGAGTTTAAACAGTATTGGTGTCAATTCTGTAAATATTTTATAGAGTTCCTCGGTGAAGCCATCTGGTGCAGGACTTTTTTTTGTTGGGAGGTTTTTGATCTCTTCACTTGTTATGGGTCTTTTGAGACTTTCTATTTTCTCTTGAGTCAGTTTGGGTAGGTTGTGTGCTTCTAAATGTCCATTTCATCTAGGTTATCCAGTTTGTTGCTGTACAGTTCGTAATATTCTTTCACAATTCTCTTTATTTCTACTAGGTCAGTTGTAATGTCCCCTCTTTCATTTCTATGTGGTTATTTGCATCTTTTTTCTTTTTTTTGTCAGTCTAGCTAAAGGTTTGTCGATATTACTGATCTTTTCAAAGAACCAACTTCTGGTTTTATTGATTCTATTATTTTTCTGTTTTTGATTTTATTTATTTCTGCTCTGATCTTTGTTATTTCCTTTCTTTTTACAGGTTTAGGCTTAGTTTACTCTTCTCTTTCTAGTTCCTAGAGTTGTCAAGTTAAGCTGTTAATTTGAGATCTTTTTTCATGTATGCATTTATTGCTGTAAGTTTCTCTCTGAGTACTGCCTTTGGTACAGCCCACAAGTTTTGGTATATTGTGCTTTCATTTTCACTTGACTCTAGGAAATTTATGATTTCTTCCTTGACCCATTGGTCATTTAATAGTGTGTTGTTTAATTTCCATATATTTGTGTATTTTCCAGGTTTTTTTCTGTTATTGATTTCTAGTTTCACTCTGTTGTGCTCAGAGAAAATACTTAGTAAGATTTCAGTCTTTTAAAATTTATTAGAACTTGCTTCGTAACCTAAAATGTGTTCTATCCTGAAGAATGATCCATGTACACTGGAGTAGAATATTTATTGTGCTGTTTTTGAGTTAAGTGTTCTATATATGTCTGTTAAGTCTTGTTGGTTTATGGTGTCGTTCACGTCCTCTGTTTCTTTGTTGATCTTCTTTCCAGATATTCTGTCCAGTATTGAAAGTGGTGTATTGAAGTCTCCAACTATCTATTTCTCCGTTTAATTCTATCAGTGTTTGCTTTATATATTTAGGTGGCCTGATGTTGGATAACATATATATTTATGATTGTTAAATCTTCTTGATTAATTGACCCTTTTATCACTGTGTGGAAACCTTGGCATAATGATTAAGAGCTACGGCTGCTAACCAAAAGGTCGGCAGTTTGAACCCACCAGGCGCTCCTCGGAAACTCTGTGGGGCAGTTCTACTCTGTCCTTTAGGGTCACTATGAGTTGGAATCGACTCGACAGCAGTGGGTTTGGTTTGGGGTTTTATCACTATATAATATCCGTCTTTAACTCTTTTAACAGATTTTGTCTTAAAACCTACTTTGTCTCACATTAAGATTGCCACCTCAAGCTCTCTTTTGATTATTATTTGCATGAGCTGTTTTTTTCCATCCTTTCACTTTCAACTTATTTGTGTCCTTGGATTTAAGGTGTATCTCTTGTAAACAGCATATAGTTGGGTCATGTTTTTTAAATCCATTCTGCCATTCTCTGCCTTTTATTGGAGTATGGAGTCCACCTACATTTACTGTAATTACTAATAAGAAATGACTTATTTCTGCCATTTTGTTATTTGTTTGTGTGTCTTAAACCTTCTTTGTCTTTGTTCTTTACTACTGCTTACTTTCATGTTTCAGTGGTATATTGTAGTAAGCCTTTTTCGTTTCCTTCTCCCTTCCTTTTGTGTGTGTTTTTTATATATTTTCTTAGTGGTTACCATGAATATTACATTTAACAGCTTGTATTTATAACATTCTAAGGTAAATTGGTGCCAGCTTAACTTCAGTAACATATAAGAAATTCTGTATCTATACCATTCCTCTCCCCCTTTTGTTATCACTAATTGTATCTTTATATTTCTTGTGTTCTGTAATGTAATTTTATCCTTGCTTTTTATGTATTTGTTATTAAAAAACATGAAATATAAAATATTTATTTAGAATTATCAAGCATGAGTATTATTACTATCCCTTATACTTGTCCCTGCATTTCCCTTTATTAGGGATCTTTCATTTTATGTATAGCTTTGAATTACTTTCTAGTGTTTTTATTCTTCCATCTACAGAACTCCCATTTTTTTGTGGAGCGATCTGGTGGATATGAACTGTCTCAGCTTCTGTTTGTCTGGGAATATTTTAATTTCATTGTCATTCTTGACGAATAGTATTTCTGGGTGTAGTATTCTTGGTTGACAGTTTTTTTTTTTTTTTTAGCACTTTAAATATGTCATTCCATTGCCTTCTGGCTTCCAGTGTTTCTGAGGAGAAATTGACACTTAATCCTATGGGGATCTTTTGTATGGGACTTCTTCTCTCTCACTACTTTCAATATATTCTCTTTACTTTTTGAAAGCCTAACTGTGATGGTAAAGTAGAGGGTCAGTGAAAGAAAGGAAGACTGTCAACGAGATGGATTGACATAGTGGCTGCAATGATGGACTCAAGCATAGC